TCCAGCTTCTTGACCCCGTCCCCTGCACTGGTGGTCCCTGGCTCTGCTACTAGGGGTGCTTGGACAGGAATTGTGCAGGAGGCCACCTTCATCATCTCGAGCTCCACAGACAGGTACAGTGTCGGACACAAAGTTTGCATGCCTTCTGGTAAAAATGGCTTGCATGGCATTTGAAACTAGTTTGAGATTATTATTTCAGGTACTTATATGGCGCCATCAATTTACATATATATTGTACATTCACATCAGTCCCTAACCCTCAAGGGGCGTACAATCTAAGGTCCCTAACTCACATTCATACATACACATACTAGGGACAATTTAGACAGGAGCCAGATAACCTACCAGCATGTCTTTGGAGGGTAGGAGGAAACCAGAGTACCTGGAGGAAACCCACGCAGGCACAGGGAGAACATGCAAACTCCAGGCAAGTGGTGCTTTGGTTGGGATTCGAACCAACAACCCTAGTCCTGCCAGGTGGAAGTGCCCACCACTTACCCACTGTGCTGACTGCAGCAGGTGTGCCTTCTACAGGGCTTCCACATTGACTTGCAATGGGAATAAAAGCCAATGTGACATATTGCTGCAACGCAGGAAGTGCTGTTATTGACAGAAGTGATTTTACTGAGACATGAATTTCAAAATTGAAAATGCATGTGGTAGTGATTCACTTCCTATTCTCATCACATGCTGAGTGTCACAATCACTCCTGGACCACCCGGGCTTGTGGTCATAGACTAGTCTTTAACATTCTACACCAGTGGTATCCAATCTTTTTTACAATTGGTTACAAACCAAGATGAACCCTTAAAGGTTTGTATTTATAAATGAAACCTCAACCTGATCAAACTTCTAAAATATTCTGATTGTACAATCTCAGAATTTCTTTCAGATTGGTCTACTGAATCCATCCAATTTATATCCAATCAAGACTTTGGTATTGTATAATTGAGAAATGTAAAGGAGATTGCACAATTCCTCTGTGATGTGTATGGGCAGCTTAAATCCATGCATCCCCCCAATAAAGCTTAATCACCCCACCCCCAAGCTAGTCCTCTAAATATATTTAAAAAAAAAAATTAAACTGATTGCCTCATTTCTGCAAATGGATAAACCGCACTCCAATGATGTCACAAAAGTCCGACAACACACACGGCGTCCTTCCACTCTAGATCCGCCCCGATAATGCGTTTCACCCATCAGGGCTTAGTTGTAGAGACGGGTGTACAGGGTAACCCACACGGAAGAAAAATATATTTGAAATATATTTTAAAAATATTCTTCCCAAATATATTGACATATATTTGAAATGCTACAATTTTGGCCGTATTCAATATAATTCAAAATATATTTCAATATTGTATATATATATATATAGAATATTCTTAAATATATATTATATATATATATATATATATATATATACACTGTATGTCGAAATGCATTTTTATTACAAAATATATGATAAATATTTTTAAAAATAAATTTCAAGTATTCTGTATGTCTTTAAAAATACAAATCTACATTTTTTGGAATGCATTTACAAATATATGTAAAAATATATGTTAAAATGACTTTCTTATATGTTAAAACAAATCTGAAGAATATATTTTTAAAAATATATATTTTTCAAAATATATTCTTCAGATTTGTTTTAACATTTATTGTATTAATGTATTTTAAAAAATATTTTTCATATATTTTGTAATAAAAATGCATTTCAACATACAGTATGTGTGTGTGTGTGTGTGTGTTGTGTGTGTGTGTGTATATATATATATATATATATATATTTGAAATATATTTTAAAAATATTATTCCCAAATGTATTGACATATATTTGAAATACTACAATTTGGCCTAGGCAACACAAAAATTGGATGCCCCCCCCTCCCCCCCCCCCAAGAGAGAGCCTGCCAGTGACCTACAACACCCCTGCCCCATCCCCTTCCCCCCGAGAGAGCCTTCCACTAACACCCACCCCGGCAACAGAAAGAAAGACACTCATCTTTACAGCTCTGGCCATCCCCAGGAGTGACAGTTGGGATCTGCATACACCATCAAGCAGCCCACAGCCTCTCTTGGATCCCACCTGGTCCCCATGTCCCTCCTTCCAGGGGGCAGTGCTGCTACCTAAAAAAATGCCGCCCTAGGCGAATGCCTTGTTTGCCTTGTGGTAAATACGCCCCTGGGTAGAGTGGAGTGCGCAAACACTGCTTTGCTGATCATACTAGTGAAAAAACTTGAGAGTAACAAAAACATGTGACATGCCTGATGAAGGGGTCCCCGCGAGGCTCTAAAACGTTCCTTCTGTCACTGAATAAAGCTTTAGAAATCCTTGGTGTGTTGGTATTATGATTTCTGCTTTAAATGTCTTTGGTTTCCAGGTTTCCCCCACTTTCATTTACAGCCATTTTTCAGGAACATGTGCATTGTATTTAACCCCTTGCCTACCAGGCACTTATACCCCCTCCAGGCCAATTTTCAGCTTTCAGCGCTGTCACACTTTGAATGACAATTGCACGGTCATGCAACACTGAACACATGAAATTTTAATAATTTTTTCACACAAATAGAGTTTTCTTTTGGTGGTATTTAATCGCCACTGGGTATTTTATTTTTTTTCCTAAACAAATGAAAAAAGACTGAAAATTTTGAAAGAAAACATGTTTGTACAATAAAATTTTGCAAACTTGTAATTTTTCTCCTTTACTGATGTACGTTAACGAGGCTGTACTGATGGGCACTGATAGGCAGCACTGATAGGCAGCACTGATGAGACGTCACTGATAGGCAGCACTGATGGACACTGATAGGCTGTACTGATGGGCATTGATGAGGTGGCACTGATGGGCATGGAAGAGGAGGCACTGATGAGGCTGCACTGATATGCAGCATTGATGGGCACTGATAGGTGGCAATGATCGGCACTGATATGCTCACTGATGGGCACTAATAAGCAGAACTGAAGGGCACTAATAGCCAGCACTGAAGGAAACTGATAGGCGACACTGATAGGTGGCACTGACTGGCAGCACTGATGGGTTTGGATTGGCAGCACTGATGGGCACTGACTGGCAGTACTGATGGGCACAGATTGGCAGCACTAATGGGCAGTGACTGGCAGCACTGCTTCGCAGCACTGCTGGGCACTAATTAGTACTCTTGGGGCTACATTGATAGGACAGTAATTGGTGCCCTGTTTATCAGTGTAGATGTCTGCTTTTCACACTTGCCAGTTATTGGCAGTACTTTCCTCACACTGTGATAGCGTGAGGAAAGTACTGCCGATAATCGGCAACTGTGTTCACATCGTCAAAAGCTATGATTGGACACAGCTGATTACGTGGTAAACGGCTGCTGTGATCGGCCCTAGAGGTCACCAGACTTTGTATATTGAGTCATTGTGTCAATATGAACATTGGCCATAAGAGGTCACCAGACTTTGTATACTGAATCATGTGTCAATATGAACACTGGCCACTAGAGGTCACCAGACTTTGTAAATTGAGTGTGTCAATATGAACATTGGCTACCAGAGGTCACCAGACTTTGTATATTGAGTCATTGTGTCATTATGATCTTTGGCCATAAGAGGTCACCAGACTTTGTATATTGAGTCATTGTGTCAATATGAACATTGGCCACTATTATTATTATACAGTATTTATAAAGCGCCAATAGTTCGCTCAGCGCTGTACATTACAAAGGGGGACAGAACATGTGACAGAACAATACCAATACAATGCAAAACACGAGGGGATTGAGGGCCCTGCTCTTTCGAGCTTACAATCTAGGAGGGAGGGGATGGTGGCACAGGAGGAGATAGCTGTGGGGGATGGAGTGGTAGGAAGAGTGGAGGAGGTCGGCAAGTTAGCAGGGGGTGGGGTAGGCATCCCTGAAGAGGCGGGTTTTCAGGGTGCGCCTAAAGGAGAGGAGAGTAGGTGATAATCTGATGGGTTGGGGCAGGGAGTTCCAGAGGATGGGTGACACCCTGGAGAAGTCCTGGAGGCGGGCATGGGAGGAGGAGACCAGGGAACTAGAGAGAAGGAGGTCTTGTGAGGAGCGGAGTGTGCGTGCTGGGCGGTACTTGGATATTAGGTCGGTGATGTACTTCGGGGCAGTATGGTGGGTGGACAGCTTTGTACGTCAGTGTTAGGATTTTGAATTTGATCCGTTGCGCAATCGGAAGCCAGTGGAGGGATTGGCAGAGGGGGGGGTGGCGGAGATGGAGCGGTTGGAAAGGTGAATGAGTCTGGCAGCCGTATTCAGGATCGACTGAAGCGGGGATAGCCAGCGGCAAGGCAGGCCAGTGAGGAGGGAGTTGCAGTAGTCGAGTCGTGATATGATGAGGGAGTGGATGAGCTGTTTAGTGGTTTCTGGGGTTAGGAACGTGCAGATTTTGGCGATGTTGCGGAGGTGGAGTCTGCACGAGCTTGTTAAAGATTGGACTTGGGGCTGGAAGGATAGGTTGGAGTCCAGAATGACACCAAGTACCCTGGCCCGCGGGGCGGGTTTGATGGTGGCATTGTTGGATATGATGGAGAAGTCAATGGGGGGTGGTGGCCGGGCTGGGGGGAAGACACTAGAGGTCACCAGACTTTGTATATTGAGTCATTGTGTCAATATGAACACTGGCCACTAGAGGTCATTAGACTTTGTATATTGAGTCGTTGTGTCAATATGAACACTGGCCACTAGAGGTCACCAGACTTTGTATATTTAGTCATTGTGTCAATATGAACATTGGCCACTAGAGGTCATTAGACTTTGTATATTGAGTCATTGTGTCAATATGAACACTGGCCACTAGAGGTCACCTGAGTCGGCGAAACTGAGCCCCGGCCCCTTGAACAAGGCGGAAATGTCTCTCCTCATAGCTGGCGGAACTCTATGGCTTGGATGGCTTACTCGTCCCCGGCAGAGCCTGTGCTGTGGTCGGCGGAAGTGAGTTGTCCTGGCGGAAGTGGGGAGCTGGCCTGGGTGTCAGTATATCGATAATGGAGGCCAATGGACGGAGGAAACTTCTGCAGCTGGTGACCCGGTTTGGGGTGCTCCTGCTGACCCGGTGCCCGTTCTGGTTTTGTTTCAGCCAGCTTATGCTGTATGCAGAGCGAGCAGAGGCCAAGAGGTACCCAGTGTGTACATGACTGACCCCCCATTCATTTCCAGGGACCCTCAGCTGCTGCACCGGTATATGTGAGCGCCACAGGGGGCGCAGAGGTCTCATCGAGGAGATAGGAGGGGGGGGGGGGGGCGCTATCCACTGCTTCCACTGGGATGGCGGTGGTCGCAACACTTTGCCTGGCGATGGTTTGCAAGGAATGTGATTGGCTACTAGTAACTAGGGACTTGTTTTTCGGAGGCATTTGACAGGCGATGCGTTGGCAATGGTTTAACCCCCAGAATGCCAGGCCACTGTGCCGCCACCATCTGCATTACATGTGGTTGTGGGGCGCCTCCATGCGCTTTATTGGGTTCAGCAGCGGTACTACTGCGCCTACCTTGCTGGAGTAGCTGGTCAGGAAGGGGGGGGGAAATGGTGGATCAGCCGCCTACTTTTACTGCCCCCACCGTGTGCCCAAATTACAAACCGATTACACAATCTGCTCTAGATCTAGCGACATGTATGTAGTCTGATTGGATGGGTTAGGTACATTCTTATATTACCTAGTTTCATCTGGGCTTTTTTTTAAAACTTGAACGCAGTTCCAGCACTGAATGTATGTCATGGGTAGGGTGTTGCGTGATCCCGACGCTGGGGCGCTGTTCGTTCCAGCGACGCTGGGGGGCGCTGTTCGTTCCAGCGAGCCCGATGCTGGGGGCGCTGTTCGTTCCAGCGAGCCCGGCGCTGGGGGCGCTGGGGGCGCTGTTCGTTCCAGCGAGCCCGGCGCTGGGGGCGCTGTTCGTTCCAGCGAGCCCGGCGCTGGGGGGCGCTGTTCGTTCCAGCGAGCCCGGCGCTGGGGGGCGCTGTTCGTTCCAGCGAGCCCGGCGCTGGGGGGCCTGTTCGTTCCAGCGAGCCCGGCGCTGGGGGGCGCTGTTCGTTCCAGCGAGCCCCGCTGGGGGGCGCTGGGGGGCGCTGTTCGTTCCAGCGAGCCCGGCGCTGGGGGGCGCTGTTCGTTCCAGCGAGCCCGGCGCTGGGGGGCGCTGTTCGTTCCAGCGAGCCCGGCGCTGGGGGGCGCTGTTCGTTCCAGCGAGCCCGGCCTGGGGGGCGCTGTTCGTTCCAGCGAGCCCGGCGCTGGGGGGCCCTGTTCGTTCCAGCGAGCCCGGCCCTGGGCCGCTGTACCTTCCAGCGACAATAAACTGACCCTTTTGTTTAGAAAGTTTGGAGACACCTGGTCTAGAAGAAGGTCTATTGTTGTTAGATGCTGAAGTTTGCATTGATACTGGCTGCTGGGGTGTGTGTCTATTGTTGCTGGGAGGGATCTACTGTTGAGGGTGGGGTCTTTTTTTGCTAGCTGCTGGAGGGGACTACAGATGCTTGGTGCGGGAAGATCTGTTGTGGCTGGGAGGGATCTATTGTTGCTGAGGAATGGGGGGGGGGGTCAATTGCTGCTGGCATGGATCTACTGTTGATGGAGGGGTCTCTTGTTGGCCGCTGGGTGCTGCTGCAATGCTGACTGCGGATAGGGGTCTGCTGCTGCTGAGGATCTATTGTTGCTGTGAGGGGGCTATATTGATGTTTGCTGTTGGGAGATCTGTTGTTGCTGGGAGATTTACTGTTGAGGGAGGGATTTATTGTTGGCTGCTGGAGGGTCTATTGATGCTGACTGCTGTAAGATCTGTTTCCACTGGAGAGAATCTGTTGTTCCTGGCAGGGGGTCAATTGTTGCTGGTAGGAATCTACTGTCTAGAGGAGGGTGTATTGATGCTGACTGCTGGGAGATCTGTTGTTGCTGGTGGGTATTGTGTTGCTGGGGAAGTGGGGATCTCTTGTTGCTGAGGGTGTTTATTGTTGCTGGTAGGGATCTACTGTCTAGAGGAGGGTGTATTGATGCTGGGAGATCTGTTGTTGCTGCGGGTATTTTGTTGCTGGGAAATGGGGATCTCTTGTTGCTGGGGGGTTTATTGTTGCTGGTAGGGATCTACTGTCTAGAGGAGGGTGTATTGATGCTGGGAGATCTGTTGTTGCTGGCGGGTATTTTGTTGCTGGGGAAATGGGGATCTCTTGTTGCTGAGGGGGTTTATTGTTGCTGGTAGGGATCTACTGTCTAGAGGAGGGTGTATTGATGCCGGCTGCTTGGAGATCTGTTGTTGCTGGTGGGTATTTTGTTGCTGGGGAAGTGGGGATCTCTTGTTGCTGGCTGCAGGGGATCTATTTTACTGCTTTTCTTGTTCTCATTAACACATTCTATACAAGCAGCAGCTGTAACCAATCAGAAGTAGCCACTGTTCAGGTATTCTGTTAGACATTGCCAGTGGCAGCAGGAACAATTGATCTCAAACAATCGAACTGCAAAAGACGCACGTTACTGTTCTGCACTTTAAATGTAGAAAGAAAAAAATGTGATCAATCACGCGTCAATCTAAACGAACTATTACGATTGTTTATTTGATCTGCATTATGATTGGTTCTCTGATACAAAAGGAGATTTTTTTTTTCTGATCAGTCAGAAGGGAGTGAGAATATTTCTCCACAGCTGATTGACCTGGCAAAGCCGAAATCACCTAGTAACTCAGTGCACTGATTAAAGGGGCATTGATTAGATTTTTTTTTTATTTCTCTATTCAATTTGATCAGATTGGTCAGACTGAACGATTATAGTGATACACGTGCTGCCGCCATAACTATTAGTAAGTGAAATTGTTCAAGGCAAATTTACTAAAACTGGGGGCAGGCAGAATCTGGAGCAGCTGTGTACGGCGATCGAGCAACTTTGCACGGCAACCAATCAGCTTCTGTCTTTGGCTTGTTCAGTTAAGCTTTGAGAATGTAAACTAGAAGCTGATTGGCTACCATGCACATCTGCTTCAGATTCTGTCATTGTGTCCTGTACATCTATAACTGTCCTCACATGAGTGATCATTTTATTCTTCTGTTATCTTAGGAAACCGGACATCCCCGTGCCTTATCTGTACTTCGATCTGGGAGTGGCAGTGCTGTGTGCCAGCTTTATGTCCTTTGGTGTAAAGCGCCGCTGGTTTGCCCTCGGTTCTGCCTTGCAGCTGGCTGTAAGCACCTACGCAGCCCACATAGGAGGTCATGTCCACTACGGCGAGTGGCTGAAGGTGAGAATGTCTAATGCAGGGCTTGAAATTTCCACCCGCCTGCTCGCCAGTGGCGAGTGGAAATTATGGTGGGGGCAAGTGTGTCCCCCAGGGCCACCTTGCTGAGCAGGCTTGGAGCTCAGGCCGGATCTGTCATTGGCACTGGGTGCCGTCAAACTGCTCAATAGCTGAGTGCAGTGAAAGCAAAGCAAGGAGTGTGTGATGTGCTCTCTGCCTCCCCCTAGAGTGCAGTACCCGGATCTGTGAGTGAACAACGAAGTACTGCAACTTTTTATGGGGGGGGGGGGATGGCAGTGTGCGCGCGCGCGCGCGCGCATGTACAATTGTACATGTGTCTGTGTGTATGTACATTTGTGTATCTGTACATGTCTGTGTGTATGTACATGTGTGTATGTATGTACATGTGTCTGTGCGTGTGTAAGTACATGTATCTGTGTGTATGAGTGTCTGTACATGCCTGTGTGTGTACATGTGTCTCTGTGCGTGTGTGTACATGTTTCTGTGTGTGTATGTGTATGTACAGTTGTCTCTGTTTGTGTGTGTTTGTTGGTGGCGAGTAACTCTAAGGCCTGGCTAGTAGCTCAGGACTTGAAATTTTGAGCCCTGGTCTAATGTGATGGCCAAAGTGATCAACTTGGGGTGTTTTTTGGCAAGTTGCGTCACTCTTGCCATCTTGATGGCTCGGGTGCTGTCCATATGTCATGTTTATTAGGGTACATGCACACAGATGCAAGTGGGTCATGCAGTATATAATCAGGCATATCTGTCCACCCACGAGTCACAGTGCAGTGTACAACCCTTGTGGATCAATGATAGGCCAAAAAATGCAGCCGCTGCACTCCGATGTACTAACATCTGAGTGGTACTTGCATGCAGGGATGTGTGCACTGCCCTGAACGCAGACTGTCTATACGCAAGTACTGCTCAGATGTGCATAGACCGGCGTACAGCCTGTCATTTATTTTGACCGGCGGCTGTGCACTGCACTTAATTGCACACCGCATGGCCCTCTTGTAGCTGTGTGCATGTACCCTAAAAAGATTTCCCTTCCACACTTCTAATCTGCAGGTTTCTAATGGGTTCGGTGACTGAGAAAGTATTGGAGCCAGAGATGTCCAGGCAACGAGTATTTTTAGCAGGTGGTCAATAATCTCATCTCCTATAGTTTTCTCAGTTCAGGTTTCATTCTATTATCATATTCTCAGAGGTGGTTGCACCCTGTACTGGAGGCATCATAGGTATACTGAGTACTGGCCGGTTACAAAATTTATAGCATGTCATAAGTACACTAGGGTTATAAGGGATCAAGTCTTTTTTTAACTGCACAAAAACAGGAGAAACATGTTTTGGGGTAAACTTTAGTGGTGTGCCGAAATGAAAATTCTGGTGCCGAAACCGAAATTCAGGATGTGCTAAAGGTATGACAGCTGGTATCATGTGCAGGAGAGTGTAACAGAGTAGTGGATACAGGAGAGGAGTGTGAAGGGTATAACAGCGGGCAATATACAGAAGTCATGAGAGGAGAACTGGTTTGATGGCAGGTAGTATGTGCAGAAGAAGGGGTGCAGAGGGTATGATGGTGGGCAGTATGTGCAGTAGAAGAGCGCTGAAGGTATGACAGTGAGTATCATGTGCGAGTGTGGAGGGTGTAACAGAACAGTGGATAAAGGAGAGGAGTGAGAAGGGTATAACAGTGGGCAATATACAGTAGTCATGGGAGGAGAACAGAAGGTTTGATGGCAGGCAGTATGTGCAGAAGAAGGGGTGCAGAGGGTATGATGGTGGGCAGCATGTTCAGTAGAGGAGCACTGAAGGTATGACAGTGGGTATCATGTGCGAGTGTGGAGGGTGTAACAGAACAGTGGATACAAGAGAGGAGTGTGAAGGGTATAACAGCGGGCAATATACAGTAGTCATGAGAGGAGAACTGGTTTGATGGCAGGTAGTATGTGCAGGAGAAGGGGTGCAGAGGGTTTGATGGTGGGCAGTATGTGCAGTAGAGGAGCTCTGAAGGTATGACAGCGGGTATCATGTGCGAGTGTGGAGGGTGTAACAGAGAGCAGTGGATATAGGAGAGGAGCGTGAAGGGTATAACAGTGGGCAATATACAGTAGTCATGAGAGGAGAACAGAAGGTTTGATGGCAGGTAGTATGTGCAGGAGAAGGGGTGCAGAGGGTATGATGGTGGGCAGTATGTTCAGTAGAAGAGCCTGAAGGTATGACAGCGGGTATCATGTGCAGGAGAGGAGTGTAAAGGGTACAGAGACAGCAATAAAAACTCTAGAGTTTAAACACTTCCACTTTATCCAGCATAAGAAAGTTTTTCCTAATGGTTGGGCTCTCAAAGGGCAGATTTAACAGTTTCCACTCCTCCATGTTACTCAGGTACGAATGTACTCTCGAATCATTGCTGTCATTGGGGGATTCCTCATCCTGGCCAGCGGAGCTGGAGAAATTTACAGGCAGAAGCCTCGTAGCCGATCACTGCAGTCCACAGGACAGATCTTCCTGGGCATCTACCTCATCTGTCTGGTATGTAGACTGCTTCATGATATTTACTGTGAGCACGTCTGTCAGGATCAAGGTGGATGAATACTTTTTTAAGCCTTTTTTACAGATAGTGATTTTATGTCAGCTGTATCTTTCTGTATGTCACAATGCAATGATCCATGCCTGAACATCTATTCATAGGACTGGACATTGCCATAGGAGCAGGAGAAGGTACCTGTGGTTCTCTAATTCTGTGGTTGCAGAGGGTATTTGGAGTGGACAAGGGTGCAGGGGAACATTGGGGGGGGGGGGGGGGGAGTGTTGGCATACAAAAGTCAAGGTATGTTCTGCAGCAATTGTGTAACTAGCATTGGAATGATGCTTGGTGGTGACAGAAGGATAGAATTATTAAAAAAGATCTCTATTGTCTCTACTAGGCATACACGCTACAGCACAGTAAGGAGGATCGCCAGTCCTATCTGGACTTCCTCCCAGGAGGGGAACCGGTCATGCAGATCATTTTTGTCCTGTATGGAGTGTTGGCGCTGTCCTTCCTGTCCGGCTACTACGTAAGGTTCTCTGCTCAGGTACTTGCTGTCCTGCTCCCCTTCTCTCTGCTCTTCGTAGATGGAAACATTGGCTTCTGGCACACTAACCGTCGGGTTGAATTCTGGAACCAGATGCGAATGATCGGACAGAATGTTGGCATTTTTGGAGCTGCTGTCATATTGGCTACAGACGGTTGAGAACAAATCTGTTCATTGTTCATAATCCAGAAGCAAAGCAATGGTGCACAACGGTCTCAAGTTCTTTAAATTGTCCTCAGACTTTCATGGGAGCATTGTTAAACCTTTCATTGGAATGGCTCCATATCTGTGAAACAGGTCCCATAAATCATTGTTCATATCACCCAGAATTCTCTACTCTGTGTACTGATGGCATGAGGGATGCACCATTTTCTTTACATTCCATATTTCTACTATGCTGGGTCTAGGAGTGTTTTTTATATTTTGTCTTTATTGTTCATGTGAGTGAGTGGAAGCGCTGCAGTACTGAAAGGCGTTACCCTCCAATGGACATAGGCAGAGCGAGTGAAAAAACACATATTGATGGCAGGTGCCCTACTGTGGGTCTGCATGTACAGGATATCTCACATACACAGGCAGTCTTCTATGAAGATTAGTCCATTTTGGCAGATACAGACTGCACAAAGGTGGAACTTTGAGCTGTGCTGTATACACACGACTCATGTTCATAAAAGACATGAATGAACAAAGCACTGAGCATCAAACCAAACACAGTTCAGTGCTCTGTTGTATGCAGATCTCCTGGAAAGTTTTGAGTCTTTTTCTATTTATTAAAAATCAGCACAAGGGACACAATGTACAGATAGTATGTTTTCCTTGTGCTGATTTTTCTTCTTTTAGGGGAAATCTTCCTCCGCTCTGAGCAATGCCAGTTTTGAGTGGTTCCAGACCAGTAGCTTCTTAAATGTCTTGGGTACCTTGGTGGAAGGTCTCCACGCCTGAGTTCCCAGCACCACTGACCCATTTTTGCCATTGGAATGTTCATTTACCTTACATCGCAAAGACTGTAGCAGAAACCGTGATTTGCCCTCGCAATGGTTCCGGTGGGTGGAGTTGAGAACACTGCCTTTTTTTTTTTTGGGCTAGTTCCCATGGTCTGCGGTGGCCTGTGTTTTCTGCACTGGATAAACGCAGGTCACAATTTCGTTTTCTGAGTGCCCTATTCACACCAGAAAACAAGTGTGATTGATGGTGCATAAAAATGCAGCTTGTGTAGCGCACTAGATGGAACCGAATGCCACCAAGCAGCAGTGCAACGACAAGGATGAAGTGTCATTATGTGACACTTCAAATAAAGTTGAAAAAGAAATAAACAAGAAAGCCGTGTGTTGCGCTGAAACGTGTATCGCACTGCTACCTGCTGGAGTCGACACGAACATTCGCCCGTACGCTGCGTTTTACTAGATGGGATAGTGTGGACCTTGCGTTTAAAGGCATTTATGAGACGTTAGAGCCTACTTTACCGATGTGCATGTTTTTTGTTGATTATGCTGAAGACTTAAAGGGGTGTTCTATATGAATGTGGTTTGGTCACTTGTTGAAGGACTGATGAAGCAGGAAGCATTTCCCCCTATAGGGTGCTGGATAGAAAAAAAAAACCTGTGCAGGCATAATGGAACTATGTTTACAAAGTTATTGCTTTATATCTTTCTTACAATATCAGGTTTGCTGTTACGGTCATTCTTTAATCCATACGTGAAATATGAGGCTGCCATGGCTGACCTCTCCCAGAGAATGATGGCTCTCCGACTTTATTATTTGTAATCACTGACCGGGAACATGTTTGCAGTTAAAGTGGTAGGAAAAGCTAAACATTTAATATTCTTAAAAACATTCCTTTCCCCCTCCCCCTACCTATGATGCGTGCCTCGTATGCTTACCATTTTTTTTTTATAAATTCAATTTGGTCACGTAATCCTGCAGCTCTGGCTTCCCTGTGTAAAGGAGTACTTGGGAAAGGCTGTGAATTCCAGGAGCTGTGACATCACCCAGGGGCGTATTTACCAGAAGGCAAACAAGGCATTTGCCTAGGGCGGCGTTTTTGAGGGAAGAAGGGACAGGGCTGTTTGATGGTGTACGCAGAGCCCTACTCCATTCCTGGGGATGTCCGGAGCTGTGAAGGTGAGTGACTTTCTCTCTGTTACCTGGGGGGGGCGGTGTGTTAGTGGAAGGCTCTCTTGGGTAGGGGTGTTGTTGGTGGTCACTGTCGGGCTCTCTCCAGGGTAGGGGGTCTGGTGTTGGTCGGTGTCAGTCTCTCTCCGCCAGGAAGGGGGGGCGTCTGATTTTTGTGTTGCCTAGGGCAGCAAAAAATCTAAATGCACTACTGACATCACCCATGGCCCAGCCATCGTTGCCGCTCCCTTGTGTCTCCTGCAGCAGCTGCTCACTGAAACAGGGAAACTGGAGCTGCAGAATCACATGATTGGGCCACAGTGTATTAAAAATGGGTAGGTACACAGATCCTTTTTTAGGTGGAAGAAGCGGGAAGAGAACTTTTTTTTCGGAATAGTTGGCCTTGGGCTTTTCATCCACTTAAAGTCACTAAACCTCATGGCATAATTGCCCACGGTCAGTGACCCTAAGTGTTAATGCAAGAGGGCCAGAGTTACAGACAAATAGGGAGCGAGCGATAGCAGCCTCCATGTTTTCTTGGAAGGTTTCCTTCCTGATTGGACATTCATTTTAAATTCGCTAAATATTTCAGATGCACCAGAATGAAAGGTGCTCAAAGCAAACGCAGTCTAAGTGAAAAGAGAAGCCTGTCCCCTGCCAGCAAGGTGTAAAGAGGGACGCATGTTCTGTGTGGAAGCAGTGGTCTCTCTGCAGAGGTCTGACGAAACCCCTGCTAAGCCAGGACTATATAGCACTCTCCAGTCATCAGGGAACATGAGCTGGGCTGATTGCAGATCTGTAGGTTTGACTCAGCAGGAGGCATGTTGGACCTCTGCAGAAAGACCACTGCTTCTACACAGAGAGCAAGAGTCCATCTTTACCCCATGCTGGCAGGGGGACAGGCTTTTATTCTCCGCTAACTTCTAAGTAAAACAAACTAAAAGGTTTCACGCTTGTTTTGCTACACACCTGGAATGCAATTTTAACTGAAAGTCCAGTTGGGGATTAATCATGCCATGAGCCACCAATGGTATAGCTTGTTTACTGGCTGATAAACCTGTGCGAAATCTGCTTGTTTTTTTTTATATTGACACCTCTTAAGTCCCGGTTCACACTGATGAAAATTCTATGCGGATTAGATCCGAGAGGCATAGATTCGCATGTCATCTGAGAAAACATTGTTTGCTATGAAAGACGTTCACATCTATGCGGTGATTCTGATCCAGTTAAAAAAAAAAAAAAGGTCCGCTGCGAGCTTAGCGCGGGTCCGGTGTGAATTTTATCTCTAACTATGCCAAATCTCGTCAGAAATCGCATTAATTCACATTAGAATCACAGAAATCGCACTGTGAAATTGCATCAGATTCGCACCACATCAGTGTGATCCTAGCCTTAATGAAGATTCCTGTATGAAACTATATATTAATGTCCTCAGTCTAGAGGAGCTGTGCAGCGCATACTGTCCATGGACAACTGAAAATCAGTCTTTATTGCATTTCTGCAATATCACCTTTTGGGGCAGCAGAGCCCATTCAGGGGTGTCAAACTGGCGGCCCGCCAGGTATTGTGAAACTACAAGTCCCATCATGCCTCTGCCTTTCAGAGTCACGCTTGTAACTGTCAATCTTGCAATGCCTCATGGGACTTGTAGTTTGGCAACAGCTGGAGGGCCGCCAGTTTGACACCCGTGCCCAGAGTCTAGCTTGTATATGTTTTAGTCTATGTAGTTGACATGATGTGCCTTATCATCAAGCTGCTTTTTCACTTGTAGAGTTACAAATCTGTTCATTTCCAGGGTGCCAAACGTTTGTTCCTGATATTTTTATCCTGGCACAATTATGTCACAGCATTCTCTGGTTGAAAGAAACTAAAAAAGGGTAAAACCATTATGAAAGGGAAGGTAAAATAGAAATTAATATTTATTAGCATTCAATGTGTTTAATTTATCTTGTTCTAGTAAAGTCCCATTATCGCCTATACAAGCAGTAGAACTGTGTACAGAACAAAGCTCTACAAGAGTGACCCAAGATGGTTACATAGGCCGGCTGAAAAAAGACAAAAGTCCATCCAGTTCAGACATAAAAAAAAAAAAGTTATAATCCTACACCCACAGTTGATCCAGAGGAAGGCGATAAAAACAGCAAAGCACGATCCAATTTGCTCCTGCAGGGAAAAAAATGCCTTTCTGATCCACCGAGAGGCAATCGGATATTCCCTGGATCAACTTTACCTATAAAATGTTATATCCAGTTTTATTCTGTGTATCCAAGAAAGAATCCAGGCCTTTTTTAAAGCAACTCACTGAGCTGACCAGAACCAACTCTTGAGGGAGTCTATTCCACATTTTTACAGCTCTCACTGTGAAGAAACCTTTCCATATTTGGAGATTAAATTTCTTTTCCTCCAGACGTAAAGAGTACCCCTTGTCCTCTGTGATGACCTCAGGGTGAATAACTCTACACCGAGTTCACTATATGAACCACTGATGTATTTATACATGGAGATCATATCCCCCCTTATGTATTATACATAGAGATCATATCCCCCCTTATGTATTATACATGGAGATCATATCCCCCTTATGTATTATACATGGAGATGTATTATACATATCCCCCCTTATGTATTATACATGGAGATCGTATCCCCCCTTATGTATTATACATGGAGATGATCATATCCCCCCTTATGTATTATACATGGAGATCGTATCCCCCCTTATGTATTATACATGGAGATCGTATCCCCCCTTATGTATTATACATGGAGATCGTATCCCCCTTATGTATTATACATGGAGATCGTATCCCCCCTTATGTATTATACATGGAGATCGTATCCCCCCTTATGTATTATACATGGAGATCATATCCCCCCTTATGTATCCCCCCTTATGTATTATACATATTATACATGGAGATCATATCCCCCCCCCTTATGTATTATACATGGTGATCATATCCCCCCTTATGTATTATACATGGAGATCATATCCCCCTTATGTATTATACATGGAGATCATATCCCCCCTTATGTATTATACATGG